CTCTCTCTCTCTCTCTCTCTCTCTCTCTCTCTCTCTCTCTCTCTCTCTCTCTCTCTCTCTCTCTCTGTGTGTGTGTGTGTGTGTGTGTGTGTTTAATAACAAACCGCACTTATATACAAGCCACATCCAATGCAACCTGCCTCAGAAACGCTTGCACGAAACTTCGTCCTACACGTAATGCCGAACTTTGAAATCTGGGTTATAATGCTTTTGATGATCTCCTGTCTATCTCTGACTATGAATGTGTACGCCTGCGCACACGCTCATCACTGCTTTTTCATACATGACGAATCTTCCTTCTCAAACAGTACAGTGATGTTCTCTCAACCTTCACTCATCATCTTGGCTTATCAGGAAATGGATTGTCTCGACAGGATCCCCACAAAGATGCCCATGTTCCTGATTCCAGTAGACAGCTAGGAAACAGTACAGAGGAGGAAAGGGAAGCACAGAGACAGGAAAACAGGGAAAGGGAAGCACAGAGGAGGAAAGGGAAGCATATGCCAAAAAAGGTAGGATGTTTAACAAGATGAAAGTGGAAAAAGCAGCAGTAATCTGTTGAAGAAGCCAATGTGGTGGCAATCTTTCTCTATTAGCTGTCATTTGTGTACACCTTTTTTTACGACAAAGAGATGGGCAAAATCTCTGGACTTCAATATCCAGAAACCTTTAGGTCAAATTCTTTTTTTTTGGGGATTATTTTCTTCGGTGTGAATTTGATTTTCTCTCCTTTGCATTTCTTAGGTCTTGCGGGCATGCCACGCCGCATTCGGGATTATCCATACGCTTATGCTGGATGGAATGCACTGAGTAGTTTTGGTTCTTGTCCTTCTGTTTTTGTAGGAATTTTAGTTTTTTCTTGTGGTGGTTTATCTCAGAAAAAAAGAAAGCTCATAAAAAAATACATGTATATAATAAAATATTAAATATATTATTATGTATCTTATTTAAAGTTATTTTTCACTAGTATATGAATTTTACTTTACCCATTGAAGTGCACGCTCTGCAAGCGCCTTGGGCAGTTGAGCCAAAATTCTACTACACTTGAATGGATGCCCCCATGTAGTATTTCCCCACTCTGACTAAGGCCTTGCTGGTTTTGAGTCTTTTGACCAACAGCAGGCAGAGGACCGAAGGCCAGCGTGCATTCGCGTGTTTTCCCAAGTGCACGAGAGTACAAAAAACTTCAAAAAGGTGATCAGAGAGGTGCAAAAGGCAATACTTCGTATCAAACGTATTTTTGAGTTAGGAGTAAATAAAACGACGAGGGCGTTCAGATTGTCAAATAATGGAGCACCAATTTGTAACATATGTGTTTGCTTTTCTTGGCCATACCCAACACACGAAATACGGCCACGTGCATCTTCGTACAATAAGTGACTTAACAGCCGGCCGACTAAAGCGCAGACCCCTTCCCGCTCACTGATGAGATTGGTAGTCCAGAGCGGATTAGTTTGAGAATCCGTTTATCTCGGATTGTTCGCCGGATGATCTTATACAAAGTTCCAGTTTGGTAATCTGTTCGATTTCAGATATCTTGCGTCTAAAGCTTTCATAATATAATATCCGCTTTCAAAACTGGGAAATTCCGCTGACATGCCTCAATTGACATTACAGAAAGAGGTAGGCTAGCCAAGCTATATTTACGTTCGATACGAACAGGATGCTCTAATAAGCCCCACTT